AATGGAGGAGAAGGGATTGCGGCGTGACCATCCCCCCTGGGGGGTGATTTCTCGCTTTCTGTCTCTATGTCTCTCTCTGTCTGTCTGGCAAGCGCACGCGCCCTACAGTGAAAATCTCTCCAAAAAAAAATTAAATAAATAATAAAATAATAAACAAACAAAGAAATAAATAATAATTCTTACTAAAAAAAGAATTATTTAATTTTATGTATTTATTTATTTTTTTTTGGAGAGATTTTCACTGTAGGGCGCGTGCGCTTGCCAGACAGACAGAGAGAGACATAGAGACAGAAAGCGAGAAATCACCCCCCAGGGATGGCCACACCATAATCTCTTCTCATCCATTCTCTCAGGATCTTGGGTACACACACACATGCGCCCAGCGTGAGTTTCACCCACTGGGTCTGGGACTCGAGCCACAGTCAACCACATGGGAGTCCAGTGACATAGCCATTATGCCATTTGCCGGTCCCATTATTATTTTTTCTTTTAAGAGAGAGATTTTTGCTATAGGGCGCATGTGCTCACCAGAGAGACAGAGAGCAAGAAATCAGTCCCCCCTGGAGGGGATAGCCACACTACAATCCCTCTCCTCCACTCTCCTCTCAGGATCTTGGGCATACACTCACACATACCCAGCATGATTTTCAACCCACTGGGCCCGGGACTTGAAGCACAGTCAGACACGGAGTCTAGAGATATAACCACTACACCATCTGCTAGCCCCTAGCATGATTTTTTTTTTTTTTTTTGCCCCTAGCATGATCTTTTTTCAACAAAAATTTGACGGCATTTCTCACCAGCTAAAAAATCTTAAATGGCTCCCAAACCTTTTTTTGTTTTGTTTTGCTATATAGGGTATATGTGCTTACCAGACAGAGACCAAGGGAGTGTGTGTGTGTGTGTGTGTGAGAGAGAGAGAGAGAGGGAGCACAAGCGTGAAGGATAAAGAGAGGGATAGAGAGGGAAAGTGAGATCACTCCCTGTGGGGGTGGCCACACCATGATCTCTTCTCCAACCTTCTCTTGGGATTCTGGGCCCATAGGCACACGTGCCTGGCATATTTCTCAGGCTGCAGGGTCCCAAACTTTAATGGTGGAGTTGGTCATATGGAAAGTAGCCTTCTATGCCACCTGCTGGCCCATCTAAGTCTTTAAGATAAAGCACAAACTCCTCAGAAAAGCCTGGCATCCATGTTTGTTTATGGTTTGACCCATCCCTGCCTCAGCAATCTCACCTTTCAAAATGCTTCCCCCTGGAGCCAGTAGGTGGCGTGGTGGTTGAGATGCTAATTCCCACGTGGCAGCAGTGGTTAGAGTCCTGGACCTGGTGGCTTGAAACTCACGCTGGGTGCCTGTATATGTATGCCCCAATTCCCAGGAGAATGGAGGAGAAGGAATTATGGCATGGCCATCCCCCCAGGGAGTGGTTTCTCACTGTCCCCCTCACGGTCTCTCTATCTGTCTTGCCAGTGAGTGCATGTACCCTACGGCAAAAACCTAACAAAAATGCAAACTGCTCTCTAGACCCTGAGCTCCACTCACACCATTCTTGTTGCTGTACGTTGAAAGCACCCTGCTCTTAGGCAGCTGGACCTTCATGCCTCCAGCCTAGAATATCCACAGCCACCCCAGTCTGTCTGTTTCCCCTGTAGGGACTTGGCATTGTTGTTCCTCTAGGACTCCTTTCTCCAGGTTTAGGGTCCCTCCTGCTGTGCCCCTGTGCTCCCTGCTCCCCTAACGCTCTGCATTATGACGCCAGTCCGTGCACCTACGGACTCCTAGAATGAACCAAGGCAGGGACTGTGCGGTCCTATCCCGGATTTTCCAGTTTCTGCCACAGATCCTGACGTATCATGAGTGCTCCAGGGTGCTGGGTAAATGGATCACAACCAGGCTTGTCCTCCCTCAGTAGGAGACAAGGTATCTCTGACATGCTGAGAGAACTGCAAGGGCCTTGATCTGTGATCGACACCATGAGGAAGTTTTTCTTTGTTTACCATAGTAGTAATGCTGTCTTCCTAGGAAGGACAATAACTGGGCACTGACTCTGTTCCAGACACTTTATCAAGAACCCTGCACATGTATCTCATTTTACAGGGGACACTGAGGCTCAGAGGGGTGATGTGACTTGTATGTGATTTGCATTGATTAATAAATCAGGGGCGGAGCCAGAGTTTAGAATTCACGGAGTCACGCTGTGGAGCCTACATTCTTTTTAAAAGAAACTACTTATTTTATTTATTCTTTAAATTTTTCTATAGAGCTCATACACTCACCAGAGAGAGAGAAAGAGAGAAAGTGAGAAGGCAAGCCAAGCCGCCAGGTCTGGGACTTGAACCATAGTCAGCCATGTGGGAGTCTAGTACCTCAACCACCATGCCATCTGCTGGCCCCAGAGCCTGCACGTGTAACTGCTGCATTCTACTGCACCTAATAACAGTGAAGGATAATAGAGGTATATACACCAGCGGCAAATTTCAGAATCTGTGAAGTTTCTCAGGCATGTTCCTCAGTCACCCTCTGAGCCCTGCTCTACCCACCATCTTCAAATGACATTCCTGCCAGATGGGTGGTAGGAGGAGCCAGGAGAGCTTAATGGGAGAGTCCTGCTAGTCCAGTTGATGAGGAGCTCAGAAAGCTGGGAATGCTTACCTTGGAAAAATGAATCATTTTGCAGAACTAGACACCAATTGTAGAAAATGTAACAACTAACTGCAAGGACACAGGATTAGATATTTCTACATAACTCTGTAAGGCAGAACTTGGCCAATTTTCACCAATCGGAGCTGTCTGAAAATGGAAAGCTCTCTCTCTCTCTCTCTCTTTTTTTTAAGAAAGATTTTTGCTATAGGGCACGTGCTACTGCCAGAGAGACAGAAAGCCAAGAAATCACCCCCTACAGGGGATGGCCACGCCACA